CAGAGTAGATCCAGAGTGATCCAGAGTAGAGAAAGTTGCAGTAGTTCTGGTTGGAGACGACGATGACGTTGTCGTGGTGATGGATACGTCTCCTGGAGGAACACAAGCTGTCTGCTTCAGGTGGTTCACATCCACCTGAGGACACCCACCTGACAGTCAGCTGGGTGTCCTCCACATAACGGTGTTAAACTGAAGAATATATCACTCCTCGCTGTCTTTCCTCCTCATATCCTGCGAGTTTCTTTATTTTCTTTGAGTAACGAGACTTCTGTTCACATTCAGTGTTAATCTCTAGGGACGCAGCGATACACTCACGATTTGATACGATTCACGACAGCGGTTCAGAATATGATTTTCTCATTATTTTAAGACACATAATGACTAAATAGATTCCTCTACTCTCTCTTTATCAGATTATTAATTAATGTATAATTCCTTTTCTTTGTAAAGTGAAACTCGATGTCTTTGTGCCTCGATAGAGCTGCTGAGACGAGTGATGGAGGACGTCAAACAAGCAAATCCAAAGTAGATCAGGGCTGATTATTGGCAATAATCTGGTGATATCTTTCTTACACGCTGGAAGTAGACAGCACCCTCTGCTGTTTACAGAGTATCAGGATCTTAACTTATTTGTGTTGCGATTTATCTTTACCTTCCTATTAACCACAAAACTCTGTTTCCTTGAAGTCTCACAAATGTTAAATGTGTTTCCTTCCTCATTAACATTAGCAGCTTCTGCACGAGACGACCAAAATGTGGAGCCACTGATAATAAAAACTCCACAGCCTTTAACTCTCAGCAGCCCCGTCATTGTGTGTCTTTCCTTGTGTGTCCCATGTAGACAAACAGCTGGACCTGACCACGGTGGACCTGAAGAAGCTCAAAGTGAAGGACCTGAAGAAGATTCTGGAGGAGTGGGGCGAGTCCTGCAAAGGCTGCGCCGAAAAGTCTGACTTCATCCGCAAAATCACGGAGCTCATGCCCAAGTACGCCCCCGCAGCCGCCAGAGCACGGACAGATCTGTAACGAGGACCACAAACAAATAAAACACAACCACACCACTTTGGACTTGACTGGGACCAGACTGCTATCCAGTGAGGAGGAGGAGAAGGAGGACCAGGAGAGGAGGAGGGAGTTTTTTTTTTTTTTCTGACCTGTTTGTCTCAGTGTTTTGGGTTCGGGAGGCGTACACTCATCTGTTAATCTTACACTGATTCAGAAGTATCGATGTTAGTGAATACACACACCAGACTCGAGTTCTTTGTTGTACTTTTTCCATCCGGTGAAGGAGAGCGAGCAGTGTTTGAGTTTTTCTGCCGATATAGTGAAAACATTTGATCGTACGTTGGATATATTCCTGGTTATTAGTCCAGAAGTGACTGTTGGAGGTTAAAGTGAAGCTGCTGAGTTTGTCGGTCACTGTACATCCTGTTGTTCGCCCCCCCACCCCTCCAACCTCCGCCTACGCCACCCGGTGAGAAAAGTCATTATGTTTTGATGTGTGTAATTTCCTGTAGCGTTCCTCCAAACCTTGCCCTACTTTTCACCATGTCCTCCCGTCACCGGAGGATGTGCGGATCAACATCCATGACCAGAGCCCCCCCACACTGAGGCTTAAAGGAAAGGCTCTGTGCCTTAAAGCTCATCCTGACGTTCCCACATGGACGTTCAAATAACGTCCAGTCCACACGACCCTGAATAAATCCCTTTCTAATTCTAGAGGACAAAATCCACAATCCTGTTGTGTTCAGAGACGCATTGTTTATCTGGAGTTAATGTGCAGTTAGTCAAATCAGGTGGTTGTCTTCTTCCAAAGTCTTTTAGTATGAGACTAATCACCCTGCAGGAGAACAGCGTATATCAGGACAGCCCAAAGTGAACTTCAGCCCGCCTAAAGGTTCGATTTGACAAAACTTCTACTGTTCTATCCCATTATTTTTCAGTTCAGTGCCACAATAAACGCCGGCAAAGATATCAGCCGTTCCTGCGGTGGAGACGAAGCTACACGAGTCCCTTGTTTTGGTCTACCTCACGTTTATTGCCTTTCTTCGTCACCTTTGTCGCGAAAACACCAGTTTAGTAATAAAATGCTTCACTGACAGTCAGCGCGGGAGCAGCCACTGTCGGAGTCACGCTGCCCTCCGTTAACTATCACTCTTCTCTGCTTCCATCAGTTTGTCGTCATTATGAGACTCCGTTTGTAAAGTTTGCAGCCTTCAATGCTGCCGATCTGCGTACAATGACGCTAAAAAACAAAAGTGCAGAGATTTGACTGAGTCGTCTCGAGGTCTCCTCAACTGGTGATTCCAATTATTGACTTTTTCATAATATGTGCAGGTCGTGGTCCACCATTAAGGGAAAACATTTGGCCATCGCTGCTGTATATTATAAAAACATTCAGCACCTTTTTAACAGAGAATGAGGACTGTGTATTTTGTCCCTAATCACTAACATGGTAATTACATGAGGAAGGGATCTCTTAATGGCCAGAACGAAGAAGAGGAATGACAGCAGCATCCAGAAACAGTTTTCTATGTCATTAAGATAAATACTCTCCTGTAAAGACATTCAGATCTCCAACACTCTCCCCTTTAACCTCCAATTCAGTCTTTCTTGTTTCCAGTTTACGGTTCCCAAAGTCGCCCATATTCCAACCCAGAGTCAACAAACTGTACTGTTATTAAAAAATGGAAAAACTACTTGTTTTTGTTTCTCATTCATTGTTAAATTCAAGAGTTTTGCAGAGTAACGGTGGCAAGTAGAGTTCAACTTTTGTATGGAAATCGCCACAAATACCCTGCAAGTTTTTACCAAAAGCAGCAAACACACACTAATACAGGTCCTACATACAGAAATATGTACTCAGAGGACATGGAGTATGGGTGACTTTGACACAGGAAGGAACACTGATCCTCCTCCTGTCAGCAAAGTAAGAATGTTGAATTTATTGAAGAGTTTCTTTTAAAAGATAGTTTCCTCTCTTTGTTTTGGGGTTGTGATTTCTGGTCCGACCGATGGTTTCTGTAGTTCTGTGCACATTGTAACTCTCCTGCTGTCCACCCTCCACTTCCGAGCAGCACCGGGACCACTCGCAGTACAATCCAATCAGCAGTCGGATAAGTGTTGACATTTAAAAATTAAAAATAAGAAAATTGGTGGTGGGTGAACTCGCTTTTCCAACAACTGTGTCAAATTCAGCCACAACCTTTCTGCTTCCTGAACATGGAGGGAAACGACTATACACAGGTGTTCAGACACTTCTCCCACCCACCCTAACCGACCCCCCCGGGCTGTTGTTGACTCTGTCAGAAGGGATGAATATTTAGTTTGATGTAAGCATACGGTGTGTACTGTTTGTGATGCTTGATAAGACTGAGAATGGGAAATTAAAGCTTAAAGTATGCTGTTGTTTCACCTTTCATGTAAGGCCCCCGGGCATTTGTTACAACTGTACTATTCTACTTTTTCATTAAAATATAAAAAAAAGTCCGTACTGAGGTTTCTAAATCATTCTGAGATTCATTCTCTGTACAACTATTGATCCCTGGTTGTTCGAGCTGAGCCATCGTTCCTCCACCTCCCCCCCAGCGTTGTTCCACTTTAGATAATGAGTCAGATATTCGGTGGAATTTATTTCCTCCTCATTGTCTCGCCGCTGTCGTGGACATGGAGGCTCACGTTTCATCCAGCTCTTTACATCACGACTTTGAAGAGGCAGATGTTCTTATTTTAAATGTCATCAGGTATCAATCCAAGGTACACAATCTATTTATTTATCCCAGGACTCACTTAGACTGAGGTTTATTTTCCAGTGGGGGAAAAAGGGAATGAATTATACACACTTACATATTTTATGTTCCTGTAAGCTGTACCCCCTACCTGTATGTAAGTATGTAAGTATTAACTCTAGAAGCTCAATCACTCGTTCTTTAAAAACACCACCATACCAAAGAGCACAGCTGTAGTTGACTAGTGAAGGACATTCAAGTGCATCACCACCATAACTTATTCAAATAACTTGCTCGCTGAATGTTTTATGTATTGTTGTCCTTCTCTTTAAATAGTTCTTTATGATGTATGCAGTACTGCAGCATTTACAGAAATGTCCATTAATGTTCACTGTTCCCTGTAACTTTAAAGTGTATGAATCAGTAAATCAAAGTACAGAGGGAGTTTAGAGTTAGAGCTCTATATATATATGAACTAAATACTGTGTTGTTTTCTTCATTGACCCACGGAGACAGAGTGTCACAGAGACAGGGTGATAGAAATGTCGCCTAAAGACTGATTCAAATAGCTTTGAACTAAATCTGAAAGGAAATCCAGGCATTATCTGTATTAGAATATTTTATTTTAACAGCATTAAAGGTCCATAAAGCATAAGAGCAACATTCAACAGTGCAAAAAGAAACTGAACATTATTATGTGAGAGAACCACAATGCCACTCATTACAGGACACTGATTATATAAAGGAAACCAGGGCTGCACGACGCGGTAATAAAGTCATAATGCCATTATTTTACCATATTGTGAAGGGAATGATCGTTCTTACATCACATAATAAACTATTGAAATCAGGATGACTTTTGTCGGGTCTGTGCCAAATAAACAAGCTAAGATGATTATAGGCCAGAGGATCTCTGCAGAACTACAGTACCGGATTATAAAGCTGTTTGTCATTTTATGATTCACATTTTACATTTAAGATAAGATGTTCCTTTATTGATCCCCCTTAGGAGAAATTTAAAATTGACACAGCAGCAGAGCAATGTAGAAGTACAGATATCCCAAAATAAAGTATTACAAAATATAATAGAACATATAAGACTATAAATGAAGTATATACACTATAAAATATTCAAGTATATGATACATAATATGTGCAGGTCGTGGTCCACCATTAAGGGAAAACATTTGGCCATCGCTGCTGTATATTATAAAACATTCAAGCACCTTTTTAACAGAGAATGAGGACTGTGTATTTTGTCCCTAATCACTAACATGGTAATTACATGAGGAAGGGATCTCTTAATGGCCAGAACGAAGAAGAGGAATGACAGCAGCATCCAGAAACAGTTTTCTATGTGCATTAAGATAAATACTCTCCTGTAAAGACATTCAGATCTCCAACACTCTCCCCTTTAACCTCCAATTCAGTCTTTCTGTTTCAGTTTACGGTTCACAAAGTCGCCCATATTCCAACCCAGAGTCAACAAACTGTACTGTTATTAAAAAATGGAAAAACTACTTGTTTTTGTTTTTGTAGAAAAAAAATAAAGAAAAAAATAGAAAATATAAGACTATGAATGAAGTAAATACACAATACAATATTCAAGTAAGAATGGTTTATATTATTATAATATTTGAGCAGCTTGACTAAAACTAAACTGTACATGTAGAAATAAATATAAATAGTTATTATAAAAACGTGGCCATGTTGCGATTTCAATAATATTGTGCAGCCTTATTATTATTTACCATTTTATAA